AAGAAGATTTTTAAGTTTTTACTATATGCATATAGGGAAAATCAATGATCCCCTGGGGCGGGGTCAATTTTGACCCCAGGGCTTTTATTTGAACAAACTTGGTAGACATCCATTAGAAAATGTTTCATGCCAAATATCTAAGCTCTCGCTCTTTGGGTTTTTTAGAAGAAGATTTTTTAAGTTTTTACTATATGCATATAGGGAAAATCAATGACCCCCTGGGGCGGGGCCAATTTTGACCCTAGGGCTTTTATTTGAAGAAACTTGGTAGACACTCACCAGAAGATGTTTCATGCCAAATATCTAAGCTCTAGCTCTTTGGGTTTTTTTAGAAGAAGATGTTTAAAGATTTTTCTTTTGGTTGCCATGGCAACCAGAGTTCTGCATTGAATTAAATTCTTTGAACAATTTTTAAAGGTGACCACCAAAGGAACATTCCTTTGAAGTTTGGATGAAATTGGCTTAGTGGTTTATGAGGAGATGTCATTTAAAGCAAAAGTTTACGGACGCCGGACGAAAAGCGATCACAAAAGCTCACCCTGTCACTTTGTGACAGGTGAGCTAAAAATGCACCAGGGCACTTGATCACAAAGCTTCTTTGAAAGTTTAAAGGAGGAGATGCACACAAAAGAAATTGTTCACTACATATTCTTTATAAGGAAAAAACAAAGGGCCATAATTTGGTCAAAAAATAATCAAATCACAAAACCTTGACAATGTGTATCAGGGCACTTGATGACAAAGCTTCTGTGAAAGTTTGAACAAAATCCCTTGAGAAATGTAGGAGGAATTGTGCATAGAAGAAATTGTTTACGCCTGCCTGCCCATCTGCTCGCCAGCCGACATACCTCACTCTAATAACCTTCAGAAAACCTGGTTAATAAAGGGCAATTACTCCAAAATTAGGCAAGGCAGAGTAACTGTTCTTATGCACTGCACTTCTACAAAATGGGATCTATCTACCTTCAAATTTTCTTGTTGGTACCACTTCTGGTTTAAGAGTTATGTCCTGGACGAGAAAAGGGGACTAAAAGACATCAGGACGGACAGACAAAGTGCCGACTATTTGCTCTCCTTATGGGAAGTAAAAAAATCAACTTTGTTATTCATGTTCTCTCTGATTAACCTACATATATGTACAACCATAAACAATAAACCTGTATTTATTGAAAACATGCTCCATTAAAGGGATACTAAGGCAAATTAATGACAAACAAGAGGGCCATGATGGCCCTGAGGTCGCTCACCTGTATATAGCCCCCCGGGCCAATTTTTACCCAAGGGCTTTTATTTGAACAGACTTGGTAGACACCCATTAGAAGATGTTTCATGCTAAACATCTAAGTTCTAGCTCATTGGGTTTTTTAAAAGAAGATTTTTAAAGTTTTTACTATACACATATAGTTAAAAACAATGACAACCCTGGGGCAGGGCCAGTTTTGACCCCCGGGCTTTTATTTGAACAAACTTTGTAGATATTTACTTAAAGATGTTTCATGTATAATATCTAAACTCAAGCTATTTGGGTTTTTTCAAAGAAGATTTTTAAGTTTTTGCTATACACATATAAGGAAAATCAATGACCCCCGGGGCGGGGCCAGTTTTGACCCCAGGGCTTTTATTTGAACATACTTGGTAGACACCCATTAGAACATGCTTCATGCTAAATATCTTAGCTCTAGCTCTTTGAGTTCTTTAAAAGAAGATTTTTTAAGTTTTTACTATATGCATTTAGGGAAAATCAATGACCCCCTGGGGCGGGGCCAATTTTGACCCCAGGGCTTTTATTTGAACAAACTTGGTAGACACTCATTAGAAGATGTTTCATGCTAAATATCTTAGCTCTAGCTCTTTGGGTTCTTTAAAAGAAGATTTTTTAAGTTTTTACTATATGCATATAGGGAAAATCTATGACCCCCTGGGACGGGGCCAATTTTGACCCCAGGGCTTTTATTTGAACAAACTTGGTAGACATTCACTAGAAGATGTTTCATGCCAAATATCTAAGCTCTAGCTCTTTCGGTTCTTTAAAAGAAGATTTTTTAAGTTTTTACTATATGCATATAGGGAAAATCAATGACCCCCCGGGGCGGGGCCAATTTTGACCCCAGGGCTTTTATTTGAACAAACTTGGTAGACACTCACTAGAAGATATTTCATGTCAAATATCTTAGCTCTAGCTCTTTGGGTTCTTTAAAAGAAGATTTTTTAAGTTTTTACTATATGCATATAGGGAAAATCTATGACCCCCTGGGGCAGGGCCAATTTTGACCTCAGGGCTTTTATTTGAACAAACTTGGTAGACACTCATTAGAAGATGTTTCATGCTAAATATCTTAGCTCTAGCTCTTTGGGTTCTTTAAAAGAAGATTTTTTAAGTTTTTACTATATGCATATAGGGAAAATCAATGACCCCCTGGGGCGGGGCCAATTTTGACCCTAGGGCTTTTATTTGAACAAACTTGGTAGACACTCATTAGAAGATGTTTCATGCCAAATATCTAAGCTCTAGCTCTTACGGTTCTTTAAAAGAAGATATTTAAAGATTTTTCTTTCGGTTGCCATGGCAACCAGAGTTCTGCATGAAATGGAATTCTTTGAACAATCTTGATAGAGCTTCATACAAAGAGTATTCCTGCCAAGTTTCATTAACATTGGCCTTGCGGTATCATAGAAGATGTCCTTAGAATATTTAAAATGTGGACGGACGACGGACGCCATTTGGTTGGCCATCCTAAAAGCTCACCTGCACTTAGTGCAAGGTGAGCTAAAAATATCAAAATGATCTTGTGTACTCAAATCACGCTAAAATGACATTTTTTAAAATCCCAGCATCAATTTCTGAATAAATTCTATATATTTTGGGTTTAAAGCATAAATATATGTATATGCTTTGAATGCCAACAGAATCACAGAGTAGATTTAAAACAAGTCATGTGACTTGAACAAAGCCTGGAAGTTACAAAATATATGTTGTGGATATTATATAATTAAAAGAAGTCTAAGTCATTCATTTGACATGTTCTTTAATGTTTTAAGAGTTTACTGTGACAACTATTATGAAATCTTTACACTCTAACCTGACCCATGTGGCTCAGGTTAGGAAACCACCATTTCTTAAAATTTCTTCAAAAGGAGAAAAGTGTTGTTCATATGACTGACTTGTGTATTCATTTTGAAGACATTTACAAAATAATTAATGAAAAATTCAAAACATTAAAATTTTGCCTGTGCCTCCCTTTAACACTGATTCTTATCAGTAAGAATTATTTCAAAACAGATTTACTATTCAGGAAGGGGAGATTACTCAAGATATATGGTTTTTAACAGTTATGTAACTTGACAGTCATGATTTTTTTGTCAGCAAAAATAGTGCTATTTCCTGCAGTTGAAAGTACAAAATATAAGTTCATAAAGGAGATATAAAAATGGATGTCACAAAAATGTCAACTTGTCTTTGCTTTGAATAGTACTGTTATTATGAAACCATCAATATAAATACAGATACAAGTTACTTAACATAATTACTTAGCCATACTGCATAAAGGTGAGAAAACCGGGAAAGTGGCAAAACAATGTAAAATAACAGGATTTTTGAAAATGAGTATCCATAGATGAAAAATCGTTGATACAATACTAAAATTACATCGATTAAACTGTACAAAAGTTAACAAAAATACTTGATAATTATGACACAATGGAGACTACAAATTTATAATTTGACAATATTATTTCATTTTTAAAAAAAGCATAAACATTATTAGCAAAAACAAACATCATTATCAAAAAGAAGATTACATTTGTGAAACAAGATTGCATTTGTAAAAAATGCTATGCCACCGCATAAATACAACACTAAAATAGTAATGTAGGAACACATTTTTTTGTTTTGACCCCAGGGCTTTAATTTGAATAACCTTGCTTAAGGTTCACTACACAATGTTTACTGCAAAATGTCTCACCTCTAGCCTTTGTCAATTCGAGAAGATGATTTTTTAAAGTTTTTACTATATCAAGTAAGGAAAACCTATGACCCCGGGGCAGGACTAGTTTTGACACTAGAGGCAAAATTTGAACAACTTTGGTAGAGTACCTATAGATGATATCATATACCAAATATCAAAGCTCTAAACCTTGTACCTTCAGACAATAAGATTTTTTACTATATGTACATAGTGAAAATAAATGACCCCCAGGGGTGGGGCCAATTTTGACCCCAGGGCTATAATTTGTTCAATCTTGCTAGAGGTTCACTACACAATGTTTCATGCAAAATATCTAACCTCTAGCCTTTGTCAATTTAGAGAAGATGATTTTTTAAGTTTTTACTATATACATATGAGGAAAACCTATGACCCCAGGGCAGGGCTAATTATGACACTTGAGACAAAATTTGAACAACTTTGGTAGAGTACCTATAGATAATTACACATACCATATATCACACCTCTAAGCCTTGTACCTTCAGACAAGAAGGTATTTTAAGTTTTTACTATATGTACATATAGTGAAAATCAATGACCCCCGGGGCGGGGCCGATTTGGACCCCAGGGCTATAATTTGAACAATCTTGGTAGAGGTCTACCAGACAATGCCCCATGCAAAATATCAAAGCTCTAGGCCTTTTGGGTCTTTACAAGAGGATTTTTTTAATTTATTCTTATAATTCCTTTTGGTTGCCATGACAACCAGAATTCAGCATGGAATGAAATTCTTTGAACAACTTTGGAAGGCCTTCACCCAAGGATCAATCCTGCCAAGTTTGGTTGAAATTGGACTAGTGGTTTTTCACAAGAAGATTTTTAAGTTCACTATATAATCTATATAACACACACACACACACACACGCACACACGCACACACACACACACACAGGTGAATTGCTATATGCCACCGCAACGCAGATGCTGCAGTGGCATAAAAATGTTATGCCACTGCATTATATAATACAGCACTTGATAAGTGTAGGAAGAGAAGAGTTTTTTTTTGTTTCTATACAATTGAACTTTGCCATAATACAGTTGAGTCTAGTGAATTTGGTGGTAAATGTGATATTTCACATGGCCTTAATATCATGACTGGACAAGAAAGTAGGTCACATAATCAAAAGCTAGGTCAGCTGATATCAAATTACAATTCTACATCTAAAACTGTGTACATGGTCCAAATTTCAAGGCTGTACATCAAAGGACAAGAAAGTAAGTCACTGTCCCTTGGGCAAGGCAAAATTTAAACCCAAGTGTGAAATTCAAACAATCTTGATACAGGGCAACCAGACAATGTTTCATGTCAAATATCTAAGCTCTAGCTTTCTCCTTTTCAGAAAACATTGTTTTATTTTTGTTTTTTACAATATGTACATTATGAAAATCAATGACCCCCTGGGCGGGGCCAATTTTAACCCCAGGGCTATGATTTAAACAAACTTGGTAGAGGTCCCCTATGCAATGTGTCATGCAAAATATCTAACCTCTAGCCATTGTCATTTCAGAGATGAGATTTTAAAGTTTTTACTATATACATATAAACCTATGAATCCCTCGGGACGGGCTTATTTTGACACTAGATGCAAAAATAGAACAACTTTAGTAGAGGCAGTCCTATATAAACGGCTGTTTGCAATATAACCCTCGCCTAGCGGCTCGGGTTATATTTACAAATAGCCATTTATATAGGACCATATAACCTGTCAACAATCTTTATAACTAATAATATACAAGATATTAGGAGCATTTATCGATATATTGGTGAATCACCAATATTTGTCATCCAATATCGGTATATCATCAATATGCTTTGCACTGAATCAATGACAGCTCTAGGTAGAGGACCTATAGATGAAATAATATACCAAAAAGCAAAGCTCTAAGCCTTATACATTCAGACAAGATGATCTTTGAAGCTTTTACTATATTAACATTGAAAATCAATGATCCCCATGGTGGGGCCAATTTTGACCCCAGGGCTATAATTTGACTAATCTTGGTAGAGGTCTACCAGACAAAGCCTTATGCAAAATGTCTATGATCTAGCTCTTTAGGGTCTTTACATGAAGATTTTTTAAAATGTATTCTTATAATTCCTTTCGGTTGCCATGGCAACCAGAATTCTGCATATAATCACATTCTTTGCTCTTCGCCAAATGATCAATCCTGCCAAGTTTGGTTGAAATTGGACTAGTGGTTTTTCACAAGAAGGTTCACTATATAGTCTATATAACACACATACATACACACACGCACGCACCCACCCACCCACATACACACACAGAGGTAAATTGCAGCTGCTGTGGTGGCATAAAAAGCATTACTATTTATCTTCAATTAATACATTGGTAGCATCCATTGTAACACAGAAGAAATTTATATCATAACTCACATATATATATAGCTTGAATAATAATGTACTAATAACAAATTTAAAAAAATAGTAACAAGTATAAAAATATCTATATAAAAATAGAATATATATGTATGAAAAAACGTTTGACAATGTTTTATATTCACCGCTTGCTTAAATAGATGATGTTGCAAACTTAGAAGATGCGGCTAACAAAAAAAGAATAATAGGTTAATACGATGCTGCTAAAAAGCACCTCACTAGGTATTTTATGAGCACATTCTAAAAGTGCTAAAATGCAATATATATTGTGTAATTAGAAAAAAAAGTTGATCAATCTTATTTTGTTAGTTAAAATATAATCAACTTGTACTTTGGTTGTTTATTCAAAAATGTATTTAAATTAACTATAGAAAAAGATAACATTACAAAAATACAAATGACCATTTGCTTCATGTTATCTCAGTTGAAAGAGGGCTTTAATAAATTTGAATGCAAAAGAATTGCTTCACTGAAGAATGATCATTAAGCAACAATGTACTGAGAATAAAGCTCAAGATAAAATATTATAAAAAATAAATGAATAATAATTTAATGTCAAATATTGTAGAATGTTTCTGAGAAACATTATAGAACAGATTTGAAAAAAAAGAGTTTTTTTCTGGAAGATCTTGATGTAATTAAATAAAATAAAAAGATCACTTTGTCTAACTTCCATTATCATTATGCACTATTAATATAAATTAAAGTTATGATAAGAAGTCAATAATCATTTCTTTGGTGCTGACTCTTCTTCATCGCTGTCTGGCAAGGGGTCAGCTTTCTTTGTGAAATCAACCTGAACATATTCTGTCATATCATCAAGTCCATGAATAACCAGTTTTTTCTGTCCCTTTGGTTGGTCATTGAAGGCCAGGTCAGCATATATCAATCCATCCTTGTTCCTGTTAACCTGAAGAAATTGTGTTTGTGTGATATTTTAATTTAATGTTTTGTTTACTTGAAATTTTACTGTCATGTTTTCAAATCTAAGTTTAATTTCAACTTTTTTCTATATAATCAAAACAAACAAATACAACGCATTTAAGATATACTATTCTCATCTTTGAGTAAAATATTTTTATCACAGAAATTAAATGCAACCCATGAAATCCTTACTGAATATGTCTAATATGAATAATTATGTACAAACTATGCATGTCAAGCTGCATTCCCTATCAGGTCATATGAACTTGGTGTTTTCTTAAACAAGAGGGTCAAGATGGCCCTAAATCGCTCACTGACCCAATGAACTCATCCGAGCAATTACTTAGACAAGCATCCTGACCAAATCTGATGACAATTGACAAGAAATGTCTAAGGACACATATGTCCCCCTTTCTAGCTCTTGACACACATTATTGGTTATTTTGTTATAGAAACTTGCCATAAGTGTTCAGTTATGGAAAAAAGAAAAAAAATGAAGACTTTGTGATAGTTTTCAAGATAGTGAGCGAAAACCATTCTGACAGTAAAGGCCCCTGTGACCTTGACGTTTGAACTAGTGACCAAAAATCAATAAGGGTCATCTAATACTTATGACCAATCAATATTGGAAAGATGAAGACTTTGTGATAAATAGCTTTCAAGATAATGAACATAAACCATACTACCATTCAAGGACCCTGTGACCATGACCTTTGACCTAGTGACCCCAAATTCAATAGGGGTCACTTACTAGTTATGACCAATTAGAATGAGGAATATGAAGAGTTTGTGATAAATAGTTTTCAATATAATAAGCAGAAACCAGTTCGACATTTAAGGTCCCTGTGAACTTGACCTTGGAACTAGTGACCCGAAAGCAATAGGGGTCATCTACTAGTTATGACCAATCACTATGTGAAATAAGAAGGTTTTGTGATAATCAGCTTTCAAGATAATGAGCTGAAATCATACTACCAATCAAAGACCCTTTGACATTGACCTTCGACCTGGTGACCCCAAAATCAAAAGGGGTCATCTACTAGTTATGACTAATCAATATGTGAAATATGAAGACTTTGTGATAAATAGTAACCAAAATAATAAGCGAAAACCATTCTAACATTTAAGGCCCCTGTGAACTTGACCTTTGACCTCGTGACCCTTAAATTGATAGGGGTCATCTACTAGTTATGACCAATCAGTATGTGAAATATGAAGACTTTGTGATAAATAGCTTTCAAGATAATGAGCATAAACCATACTACCATTCAAGGACCCTGTGACCATGACCTTTGACCCCAAAATCAATAGGGGTCACTTACTAGTAATGACCAATCAGTATGTGAAATATGAAGACTTTGTGATAAATAGTTTTGAAGATAATCAGCAGAAACCATGTGGTCTACCGACGAACAGACAGACCGACCGACGGACCAACATTTGCAAAACAATATATCCCCGTTTTCGAATGGGGGGGGGGGCATAAAAATGTGACCACTAAAGGGATAATAAGATTTTCCCACATTCAGTCCTTGTGGCCTATTTGTTTACCCCAGGTGACCCATATTCAATAGTTATTTTCTATTTTATCTCCTGCGACCAAGTTTTCATCCAAAATGACCCATGTTGGATCTCATTTTAACAATTAACTAGAAAAACATCCTGACCAAGTTTGATAACAATTGAGTCAAAAAAGTGACCACTAGAGTGTTAACAAGTTTTTCCATATTTGGGCAGTGTGACCTAGTTTTTGGCCCCATTTGACCCATATTTGAAGTTGAACTAGAAATCAACAAAGCAAACATTCAGACCAATTTCCAGGATATTTGGATCAAAACAGAAAAAAACGAGAAATGTGTCCAAAGGACACGGGTGCCCCCACACTCCACCGATTTGTTAATCTTATGTCTCTTGGCCAAATATTTTTTCTGGCTACACGTGCCCAAGTTAAAATCTAAAAATATTTTATGAAGTAAAGGGCAAATACTACAAATACTGAATAGTGTCACAAGACAAGAGGGCCATGATGGCCCTGAAGTCGCTCACCTGTACATAGGCCCCAAGGGCGGGGCCAGTTTAAACCAAAGGGCTTTTATTTAAACAAACTTGGAAGACACCCATTAGAAGATGTTTCATGATGTTAAGTTTTTTTCTATACACAAATAATGTAAAAACAATGACTTTTGAACCCCCCCCCCCTCCCCCTGGCAGGGCCAATTTTAACCCAAGGGCTTTTATTTGAACAAACTTGGTAGACACCCATTAGAACATGTTTCATGCTAAATATCTTAGCTCTAGCTCTTTGGGTTCTTTAAAAGAAGATTTTTAAGTTTTTAATTACTATATGCAATATAGGGAAAATCAATGACCCCCTAGGGCGGGGCCAATTTTGACCCAAGGGCTTTTATTTGAACAAACTTGGTAAACATCCATTAGAACATGTTTCATGCTAAATATCTTAGCTCTAGCTCTTTGGGTTCTTTAATAGAAGATTTTTAACGTTTTACTCTATGTATATAGGGAAAATCAATGACCCCCTGGGGCGGGGCCAATTTTGACCCCAGGGCTTTTATTTGAACAAATTTGGTAAACACCCATTAGAAGATGTGTCATGCTAAAAATCTTAGCTCTAGCTCTTTGGGTTCTTTAAAAGAAGATTTTTAAGTTTTTACTACATATATATAGGGAAAATCAATGACCCCTGGGGCTGGGCCAATTTTGACCCCAGGGCTTTTATTTGAACAATCTTGGTAGACACTCATTAGAAGATGTTTCATGCTAAATATCTTAGCTCTAGCTCTTTGGGTTCTTTAAAAGAAGATTTTTTAAAGTTTTTACTATATGCTTCTAGGGAAAATCAAAGACCACCTGGGGCGGGGCCAATTTTGACCCAAGGGCTTTTATTTGAACAATCTTGGTAGACACCCATTAGAAGATGTTTCATGCTAAATATCTTAGCTCTAGCTCTTTGGGTTCTTTAAAAGAAATTTTTTAAAGTTTTTACTATATGCATATAGGGAAAATCAATGACCCCCTGGGGCGGGGCCAATTTTGACCCCAGGGCTTTTATTTGAACAAACTTGGTAGACACTGATTAGAAGATGTTTCATGCTTAATATCTTAGCTCTAGCTCTTTGGGTTCTTTAAGAGAAATTTTTTTTTAAGTTTTTACTATATGCATATAGGGAAAATCAATGACCCCCTGGGGCTGGACCAATTTTGACCCCAGGGCTTTTATTTGAACAAACTTGGTAGACATCTATAAGAACATGTTTCATGCCAAATATCTAAGCTCTAGCTCTTTGGGTTTTTTAGAAGAAGATTTTTTTAAGTTTTTATTATAAGCATATATGGTAAATCAATGACCCCCTGGGGCGGGGCAAATTCTGACCCCAGGGCTTTTTTTAACAATCTTGGTAGACACTTATTAGAAGATGTTTCATGCTTAATATCTTAGGTCTAGCTCTTTGGGTTCTTTAAAGGAGATTTGTTTAAGTTTTTACTATATGCATATAGGGAAAATCAATGACCCCCTGGGGCGGGGCCAATTTTGACCCCAGGGCTTTTATTTGAACAAACTTGGTAGACATCCATTAGAACATGTTTCATGCCAAATATCTAAGCTCTCGCTCTTTGGGTTTTTTAGCAGAAGATTTTTTAAAGTTTTTACTATATGCATATAAGGAAAATCAATGACCCCCTGGGGCGGGGCCAATTTTGACCCCAGGGCTTTTATTTGAAAAAACTTGGTAGACATCTATAAGAACATGTTTCATGCTTAATATCTTAGGTCTAGCTCTTTGGGTTCTTTAAAAGAAGATTTTTTTAAGTTTTAACTATATGCATATAGGGAAAATCAATGACCCCCTGGAGCGGGGCCAATTTTGACCCCAGGGCTTTCATTTGAACAATCTTGGTAGACACTCACTAGAAGATGTTTCATGCTTTATATCTAAGCTCTAGCTCTTTGGGTTTTCTAGAAGAAGATGTTTAAAGTTTTTTCTTTTGGTTGCCATGGCAACCAGAGTTCTGCATGGAATGGAATTCTTTGAACAACTTTGTTAAGGCTTCACACAAGGAACATTCCTGTGAAGTTTCATTATGATCTGCCTTATGGTTTCAGAGGAGATGTCGTTTGAAAAGTGTGTGAACGGGCAACGGACGACGTACGACGGACGACAGACGACGGACGAAGAGTGATCCTAATAGCTCACCCTGAGCATATGCTCAGGTGAGCTAAAAACCCCAGGGTGCATAAGTACACATGCTGACCAACATTCTTATAAACTTTCAGGCCTACAGGTCTTAAATTTTTTGAGTAACGTTCAACACAAGTTAAATATTGTAAATTTTAACTAAGTCAAGGGCAATAACTCTAAAAATACTAAAACTATCCACACAAAAATATCCAAGTGCACAACTAGAAAATACTGAGCAACATTCCTGTAAGGTTTCATGACTATAGGTCAAATACCTTTTTAGTTTTGTGCGACAGAAGTTAAAAACAAGAGGACCATGATGGCCTTAGATCGCTCACCTGACTTATCAAACTCATCCAAACAATTACCTAGACAAGCATTATGACCAAGTCTCATGGTAGGTGAGTCAAAAATGTGACCACTACGGTGTTAAAAAGGATTATCCATATCTGAGCAGTGCGACCTAGTTTTTTACCCAGGTGACACATATTCAAACTTAACCTAGAAATCATCAAAACAAACTTTCAGACAAATTTCCAGGATACTTGGATCAAAACAGTAGCAACTAGAGTGTTAACAAGATTTTTCTATTTTTAGCTCCGGTGACCTAGTTCCACATGCGATTTCAAACACATCCAAGCAATTACCTAGACAAGCATCCTGACCAAGTTTGATGATAATTGAGTCGAAAAGGTGACCACTAGAATGTTAACAAGGTTTTTCCATATTTGGGCAGTGTGACCTAGTTTTTCATCCAAGATGACCCATGTTCGAACTTGACTTAGAA